TATAAAGTCATAATCAACATCACATTTTCAGGCTAGATTACTTACAGAATAGATATTTCTTTCCTGTTGCATACATAAAATCACCATGCTGAAACAATCAACAAACGGCTTGTTTTGCTGATGACTACACTTCCAGCTAAAAGCTGTTGTTCATCTTTGGACTCAAAAGCTGCAGACTCTGGTGTTATCTGTGGCACCTGCTACAAACTGCTGCCCAAGACCATATGGTGTCTGAACAGTCAGCCTAGAATTTGAAGTTGTTTTTTTGTGTGTGATTCTCATTACAAACCCACCAGTACACCTGGAGCTGTGGAGCACACACTTTGACTTTTCTCTGCCCTGTCAGCAATAATGTGGCTGCGCCAGCATCCATGCTGCACTGCAGGCTGCCAGCAGCTTTTGGAACTTCATGGGGTGGCAAGCTGTCCACCCTCAGTCTGCCAGCATACCTTCAAGTGTTGTTTTAGAAAGTATTCAGACCACTTCAGTTCAAACAGATTAGCCCATCAACAAAGTAGTGTTTTGATTGTGTCTGATCATGCACTGATCACTAAGTGCTGATGTGATGATATCTCAGTTACAACTAAAAAAAAACAAAGACCAAACTTTTTCGGGATCTGATGATGTTATAACCTAACTTTTGCGATTTTTAAATTAACTGTCACAATCACGATCATGATGTTGTTATTTTTTGTATAGGGGATAGCATAGTTTTTAAATAAATATGGAAAATAATTAGATTGAAAAGAGCTTTAAAACGATATTAGAACAATTTCTCTATGCCTTTTAGTTAGGGGGATATAGACAGTTAAAGTCACACTGTCCCCAAAACAGTTCAAACTTCATTAGTCCATATTTCTCTCAATTAATTGTTTCCACAGGTTCCTCACGTGACCAGATCAGCTTGAAAATAGCCTTCAGATTTGTGACAGTGTGGGCCAAAAGTGTGATGTTTTGACATGGAATGACCTGTTTTAGGAATAATCTGCCAAAACAACTGATACGCAGTTTCAGGACACACCAAAGTAAAGAGATGGAGTGTCAGCCTTAGGTTAAAGATCATTTAGCATGTGCATCCTGCTGCCATTTATATGGCTGCATGGGATGTAAAGAAGAGGTGTTGCATAAAACATAAATGTGGACAACAGATATTGTCAGTCACATTCATATGAGCCTACTTTACAAATCAGTGCAGACGACATTATTGACTACACTATACCTTTAGGCTGTTTCTGTGCTGACATAATTCAAGTTGCTCTTGTTAATAAAATCTCTTATGCAGCACACAGTGGTGAAGTGTAGGTCAGAACATAACCTGCAGGCTCCACCAGAGACGTTAACAGAGGCAATCCTATCAAAGAAACATCTGTAACACCACAGACATCGATTGCATGACACATATTCTCCCCCATATTATTTGCTTTTTAACGGCCAAGCATTTTGATGTGTAGTAGAAGTATGATCTGTGAAAAAAGGTTTTTTTTAAATTTTATTTTGGGGCAAAGTCAAACAATTAAATAGTTTTTTTTAATCAGATTTGTCAGGTAATTCTGTGCAGTTTGTATGTCCTAGTTCTCCCATTGACTGTCTATGAAGATAAATCACATGTCTAAACTGTACAAAAATGAAACCAAAACATTCAGGATGCGGGCTCCGCCATTTTGCTTTGCGGTTGTCAGAGTCTCTGCAGTACTGATCTGAACCCAATTTATCAGAAACATGAACACTGCCTAAAACAGAAGCCATCTTTGAAAAAAAACCCATTTGATTTTATTGACTTTTTTAGTTTGGTGCATGTCCCATCCACTAATATGGAGGGGGCAGAGCTTATGACTTAAACCTCAACCAAGTTGTCCATCTTTACAGAGTCTATGCTCTCTCCCCTTTCATTTTGATATCAGAAGGTGCTGACTTGTGAGACAAGACAGAAAATGTTGAAGAAAAAAAATATTGCTGCACAATTGTCGAATATCAGGATGCCAATATATCATAGCAGAGGATTTCAAGGATTCTAATATCAGGGACCAGTAGCTTCACTTTATTTTCTCTGAAATTCAAGATCATTTGAATCCAAGTTTGACCATCTGTTTCTTTTCAGCACTGACTGATCATTATCATTCGTATTCACTGTGGGCTAAAATCCATTACCTGTAGTGGGTCAGCCAATCAAAAGAAAGGCTCATTATTAAGGCACAAACCTCCCTTTTCTAGATAGAGCTTGAGAGAAGAAGGGTAACAGTTGGTCTTTGTTTCCTTGAAACCACAAATACAGATTCTTATGGATATCAATATAAAAATAATGTAAAAGCAACCAAGTAAAAGTTCCATTAAATGTCAGTAAACAGGTTGTCTGAAGTCACTGAAACATTTACGGTGTAAAACCAGACCACAACGTCTCTTAACCAGTTTCTCTAACCTTAGAATTTCCTTTATTGATATTTTCAGTATCAAGGCTTTATATTTACAGAATTGAAAACATCCTTTTTACATCAAGTTACATAAACAGAAAACATAATCCGGTCACACTTATGTGACCTACAATGCTTATTTGCTGTTGAAGTTTAGTTGTATCATATTTTCTAATAAATTGAACCTGTTCTTTTGGGACATGATGGCTCAAAACCTTACTAAAACATTTTATGTGGGTTCATCACCCAACCAACCATCTGTATGTAGTCCAGTGAATTTATTTGTAGCTCTGTAAAACAAAAACAAAAGCTCACAGTGATGCTGGGGACCGTGATTAGTTTTTGCAAACAAAGGTGTAAAGTATTTGTTCTTTACCCAATTATTTAAATGTTATTACATTTTATATTTGCAATTGCATTCTTGCAAAGTACACTACATTTGACAGCTTTGCTTTAGATTTTGCTACAACACAATGTTAAATATAACTAGTAAAAGTGAAAGTAGAAAAGTAGAATTCAATCTGATGTGCCTATCGATCTTAAGAATCATTTTAAGACTTTATTTTTTAGATTTTCTCACCATACCAAAAGGTGCACTCTATTGCTCTGCCACTGCATCAGTCAGGATTTACTCATGAAACAACATGAAGTCAGTGGTAGGCAGACCTCGTCATTTGTTTAGTTTTTTCCGTTCTCCAAGATGTTACTTCTGAGAACGTTCTGTAAGAAAAATCAATAAGAAATTAAAGGTACATTATATGTCACATCATTGATCATCCAAAAATTATATTTTGTATTTTTCTGAAAAACCTGTAGAGACAAACAACAAACAACAAACAGTCTTAGCTCAACTACATTCAACTATACCCTTGTGCATAGTGTGGATCTCTGAGGTCGTGGTGCTGCCTGTTTCAAACCCTCCACCATTGATGAAGATGACAGTGACCAGTCCTGTGGTTTTAGTGAAACATACACATTTTCTAGCCATGTAACACCTTGTGCCTCACTTGCTATTCTCTCCTGGTAATAAATAACACATTGTCAAGCAAGTGACACTTTTAGAATGATTTGGGTCAATATCAAGAAATTCCCCCTGGGCCTTATGACCACTGGAATGTAACTGATGTGAAGATGTAACGATGATGTCCAGCGAGGGGTCCCACTTCACATGCAGTGAAGTCGAAATATAAAATGAAAATCTATGATATGAACAAAGTAATACACAATTACTTCAGTGCAGTACAGTAAGGAATTTGAGCAAATGTAGTAACTTGTTACATTCCATTAGTCCTCACATGAACAGAGGTATCTTGGATCAGTCTGTTTCTTCCTCAGAAAAACAAAACCAAAAACCAAAAACTGTGACCCCTGCATCCCTACAGATTCAGAAGACACAAGCCCTAGCAGCTACAGGGAAAAGCCGCTTATTGTAATATAGATTTTCATACATTGCTGTCTCCCTTTTCTTTAATCTTCTGCTCTGACGTGGTCGTTGTTGCCACAGCAACATGTCTGACTGTTGTGGTGTGTCAGGTGGCGGCCGACGCAGCTCGTGCAGCCACCCACCTTCACCGATAAAAACTGAAGTGACTGTGTGCACGCATTAGACTATAAATGCCATCAGTCTGTTCTCATGTTGCTACGTTAACTGCAAGCCAAGTGTTGTTGCTGTGTGGAGAGCATGATGGAGAATAAAACAAGTGGCTACGCCAGACAAACAAGATGATGTGTGTCTGACCAGACCAGTGGAATTTATTGATGCCATTAGCACCAAGTCAAATTGAGACAATGGTTTTTAACCCTGTGGCAATAAAGACACAAGCGAGAAACCAAGTGTGAATAACTGACCGTAACCCTTACTTCCATTTCATTCTAAGAATATCTTAACGGTCACACTGTGATGTGGATGATTGTGGAAATACCATTTCAAGTCTTTTTTTAAAGTTGTTTTCATACATGCCACTGATTTTATAAACCTTGACTGTAAAAATCTGTGAAAGTGCATGCACTCAAAACAACACAGGACAGGATTCATATACCTGCGTGTATGGTTCTGGGTTTGCTGACTCATGAAATAGTGTCAGGAAAGAGTTCATTAACTCAAGATTGGTCAGTAGAGCTGTTCCATGTGATTGGTTCCGATTCATCATCCCTCTCAGATTTGTGTTTAGCTTTTTGATGTGTGTGCACATTTTGGGAGCGGGGGTCTAAGGTGCAACTAACACTTTAGTACTTGCAGCTGTAGTTTGGTGGAACCAGCTGTAGTGTTTGCAATACATGCTGTAATTTTGGTGATAGATGGTGGGAGCAGCTGTAGTTTGGTGGGAGCAGCTGTAGTTTGGTGGGAGCAGCTGTAGTTTGGTGGGAGCAGCTGTAGTTTGGTGGGAGCAGCTGTAGCTGTGTGATGAAGTATGATGTTTATTGTCTATGTACCAGACTGTTTATGTTCAAATCTTCTCAAAGGCAGATATACCAATAATAATCATAATCCCATTTCCTCCAGATATAAACCTTTGCTCTGTTTTGTATCTTATTTAGATTTGCATACACAGCTCTTTCTGATTGACTTGACTTTGTCCTCTACCTCCACAGCTGTTGCCATGACAACAGACGAGGCAGAGAGTCACCAGAAGAAGCCAAGGCAGCAGGAGGAAGCCGGCCAGGACGCCAGGCCGCCCTCTCCAGAGGAGGAGCAGCTCCGGCCTCGCAACCGCAACTCTGCCAGCCGCGGCCTCTCCCGCCTCTTCTCCTCGTTCCTGAAGAGGCGCTCACAGTGTGAGAACGAGGGGGGAGAGAAGGAGGACAAGCAAGAAGAAGAAGAAGCTAAAGCCCCCATCGCTGACCCTGAACCTGAACTGAGGACAGAGGGAGAGGTCGCCCTGGATCAGCACTCAGTAAACAGTGCTGAGGCTCAGGTTAGTCTGTATGCTCTGTATCTGAAGTAGTGGTGGGTGACCCCACAGTATTTGGTTTCAGTCTAAAACCAAGTGTTACAAGGGCCAGGATCGTTATACAATAGTTATATGACCTGTACATAACATACCAGACATTAAATATTATTATTCGTCGCTCTCTCTGTTCATTACTAAATCACATGCACGTTTCAAGACAAAACAGGTTCAATGGTAAATAGAATAAAATAATTATAATTAACTAAAGATATGTTCACTGCATGAATCAACACACACCAATAGCAGAGGATATTCCAAGCCCTCTTTATACCTCGAATGTAGGATTTCTGAAGTTTTCACACATATGTGACTTATCTAATTGACCAACCCTCAAAAACTTATGTTTTCCTTCAGCTGAAAAATCAAAACCTGTCCTGCCCTTCAACAACAAAACACTGTTGTTGAATACATCCCTAATACGCTACTCATGCTACGCCCACTGCAGACACAGTGTATATGATACTAAAAAGCTTTGGAAATGAAATACAATTGGATGGTACAAACCACCAAAGGGAATGAGGCAAGGAACCATCCATCTCTCCAAATGCTTATGTAACATCACCTTCAAGTGTAACTACAGCAGTAAGATGTGTGGTCTCTACTGGGGCTGTCTTCTGTGGTAATAGCTGATAAATACACACTATAAATAACCATCATACTCCCTGTCACATATAAAGGGATTGTAAAAGAAAGCACCTCACAGGATTTCAGTGTAAACAGAGGGTATATATTGTTCTGTGGCACAATTTATCTGATTCCTTGTCAATGCAAACACTGAATGGTCTGTGTGGATGACCTGTATGGGTGTGGTGGGAGTGAGAGCCCATGAAGATTGGCCAGCAGCAACCGCATTTCACTGATTCTTGAAACATGGTTCAAAACACGTCCAGCATTTAAAACAGCTAGTTTAAAAATATTTTCAAGTGTAAATGCAAAGAGGGATTAATAATAGAATGCATTCAACACAATTATCCCCTTCAATGTAATCTAATAACTATTATATCAAATCTATGAAACTGTCTATCCACTACATCTAAAACAGCATGTCCAGGGAGAAGGGTTCAATCATTCATGTGCAATAAAAAGGATACAAATATTTTGTAATGATCAAAAAGAGCTTGTTTGATAAGAAGAAACACTTAATGTCTCATATCAGAGACGACACATGCAAATTTCATAAGGTTTCCAAGTTGTGTCCCCACTTTTTGTCAACACTATCAGACATTCATTAAAATGTGATAAAATGGGAATATTAGGGGCAGCATTCATTAAGGATCCATTTTCACATTCCACCTACGCAGAGTGCATCTATGACAGACAGGGTCAAATAAGTTTTATTTTAAATCTTAATGTTAATATTTCCTGAATATTAGTTTGTCTAATTAACACTAAACAAGTGGCATCAGCATTTTCTGCTTTTTTATTGCTGTGAATTGATAGTCATCAACTCTATGAGGGTTTAGTTGAGGAAACATAGGGCGTACACACATAATGGTGCATAGAGGTCGAGCATAATGTGAGTGAAAATGAATTTGGTGTCTGATGGTGTTGACACAAAATAAGTGATGACAAGGCAAAAAGTACATTTTGTTAAAAAAGAGAAAAGTTGGGAGGTTGTATCAAAGCATTCCTCACTAGCTTAGTATACATGGTAGATACATGTAGTTTCATTTGTCTGAGCTTAACGTTGCACTTTTTCAAAACTGGATCCTGTTTTGTCCCACTTCTCAAGAATCAGTCATCACTTTCATTGTGACCCTTATGCAAGACTCACAACCACTTTAACTTGATACTAACTGTCTCTTGTCAGGCTGTCCAGGTAGAGAAGAAAGAAGCTGAGGCAGAGGAGGAGGAGGAGGAGGGTGGAAAGGACAAGGAAAACGATAAGGAGAAAGGAGAGGAGGCTGCCCTGGAGAACGAGGAGGACAAGGACAAGGAGGAGGAGAAGGAGTCTTGTCCTGAAGGAGGCAGTAAGGGAGAGAACGAGGAGAAGACAACAGAGGAGGAGGCCAAAGCTCCCAGAGCTCCTCGCCGACCCAAGACCATGCAGATCAAAATCACTCTGCTCGATGACACTCTGTATGAGTGTGAGCTGGATGTAAGATCACTTTCATTCTTATTTGTTCTTCCATTATTTGATATTAACACATGCATACTGTTATAAAGTAAATAGTGCTTTGCCAGGTTTATGCAGGTTAACAAATGGCTATAACAAATCCCACAACACAAAGTTTTGTATTTAAGTTGTATTTTGTTTGACTGAGACTCTTGTCTGGTCACTGATTTTCTAAATTATTTAGTGGATTGGCAATTCTTTTTGGTCAACAAAGTAAGTGTCAACCCGTTTCTGCCGTCATTTCTATTCCTCTATAAAACGTATTGCTGTTGCCAAATTTGTCTCATTGTTGTCCCCTTTATATATTTGTATATATCAGAAACATGCCACAGGCCATGAGCTGTTCATGAGGGTGTGTGACCATCTCAACCTGCTGGAGAAAGACTACTATGGCCTTGTCATCTGGGAGACATCTACCATGAAGGTGAGCTGGATTTCTAACTGTCAGAAGTTAGTATCAGTCTAACTATTCCAACCTCAATCTGTAGCTCTGTATACAATCTGTAAACAGACCTGATGGTTAGATGAACCGGTGAAACCTCAGTACTAAAAGATCTCATGTTTCAATTCAATTCAATTTTATTTGTATAGCGCCAAATCATAATATACATTCTCTCAAGGCACTTCACATAAACATTTTAGAGAGGGGTTATAGTTGCTATAATGAAAACAATAAAAGTGATAATTATGGATGTATAGATGTAATTAATCGATGTTAGATATTCAATCTCTCATTTTCTTGATCAGACCTGGATGGACATGACCAAGGAGATCCGCAGGCAGGTACAAGGTGAGCTAACATTTAAATATATAATGTGTTCTCATTTTCTTTTTTAACATGTTTCTAATGTAGTTTTAACATTTTTTTCCATCACACCCTCAAGGTGCCAACTACAATTTCACCTTCAATGTGAAATTCTATCCACCGGACCCAGCCCAACTTTCCGAAGACATAACAAGGTATCCCATGAGTTCCAGTCAATGTGCCAGTGACTGCCTACAAACATTATTTTATTGCATTGAAAGCTTAATGTGAAAACGATTTATTTTTCCACATGAAGAAGACTAATTTTAACATTTTATGTGACAATCAGTGATTTTCTGAGCCCATACCTGATGTTCATCTATTTTTAATTTATGTTTCTATCGTTACATTTTGTCATAGGTTAGAACATGTTTCTTTGACCTTTAATTAATAGTGTTATCATGATATCAGAACTTTATACACAGTACATGTGATCCCTTTTTGTGCATTGAAGGTACTACCTGTGTCTCCAGCTGCGGAAGGACATCCTGCAGGGTCGCCTTCCATGCTCCTTTGTGACGCTGGCCCTTCTGGGCTCCTACGCTCTGCAGTCGGAGCTGGGCGAGTATGACCCTGAGGTGCATGGCAGTGAATATGGGAAGGAAATGAAAATGGCTCAGGGTCAGACCAAGGAGCTTGAGGACAAAATGATGGAGCTGCACCACACATACAGGTCAGAACACTGCCTCAGCTAAGCAGTGGTTAAAGAGACGTTTAGAATTAAGTGCTTTTTGTGTCCACAGCAGTTTTAAGTGGATCTGTCAAACTTTAATATTACAATGTCAAAGTAGAAGCACACAATATTCTCTGCAAAATGTAATGATAAACTGCTCATTATGGCATTGAGGAGTATGAACATACTTGTCTCTAAAAGTGGCACATTTTGCACACCTCCATCTATTTATTGTAATGATACATGAATGATAGTACTACTTAAATAAAAGATAGATTAGACAGGTTTACAGGTTTTCTTTGATTTCTGCTGCTGTGGCAGGTCAATGAGTCCGGCCCAGGCAGACCTGATGTTCCTGGAGAATGCCAAGAAACTGTCTATGTACGGAGTGGACCTCCACCAGGCCAAGGTGAGAACAGGAGCTGGTCAACTCTTCTGTTTGTGATTCTGCCTTCTGACACTCTATGAAAACAATCAGCATATAAATGGCGGGAAAATGAAACAGTGTGTTTTCAGCTTTGTCTGTTCATAGTTTCAATGTCATGCACAGAAGCATGAGTGACCGCCAGGAAGACATGTGACTTGTCAGCTTTTACAGCAGAAATCAGGTCAATCTCTTTGCATCAGGACAGGGATTTAAACCAAATAGGAAAGGAATTTTTAGAGGACTGTACTGCCGCCCAGTGGATAATTGTGAACAGTACAAGAAAGCTGCATCATTAAGCAGAGGTAAATACAGAATATGGACTACTGACATAGAAACCAAGCAGTAGTAAACATTTCAAATACATGGTGTGTGCTGATCACCACTACAACTTTGCATTAACTGTCCTGATGTCAAATTTGTATAAATGGACTGCATTTATATAGTCTGTCGAACAAACAACTTTACTATGTCTCATTCACCCATTCATAAACACATGGCAAACCATGGAGCAGTTAGGAGTTCAGCTCATGGACACTTCAATAATATCTGGAGGAGCTGGGGATCAAACCTTTGGACACCTTTAGAAAGCCACTTTGCCTTCTGAACCCCATGTAAATAATCAATATTAACACATCATCAGTCCTGCAGATAGTCTGTTATAATGACTTGTTTTAATGCAAGGTAAGTTTAGCATTTGCAACTATCACCAGTGGAAAAGTAATACATTCAGTTAATAGTTGCGAGGAGCTCTCCTAGAATCTGTATGCAGCATCAAAGCCGCTCACTTACTTTAGTAACAAAACTCAAACAGTAATAATTTAAAAAAAGAGTGAGGTCAGATTTGTTTGCTCATTAGATAGAGAAAACTGTTTTAGTGGCAGTCAAATTCAAACTCGAGATACATCCTGAAAAATTAAAGTTGATGTTATAGTATGAGTATCTGTTGTGTTAAAATGGATTTCTTGATCAAAAGGCAGGATGGTAAGATACTGGTCGATTTATCCATCACACTACAAACACACCGAAGCAGTCTTCTTGGAACTGGACCTTCCTCTTCATGTGGGTCGAGTGAGATCATATAGTCATAAAAAGCATCATACAGTTTCCAAGTCAAAGACGCTAAGTTGTGCCAATACAATGAGGAAATGTGACAGAACATCAATGTGTCGCTCTTTAGAAAGAAGCTGCTTTGGTTTGAAGTGCAACAGACATTTTAAGACATATTTAAGGTTCCGTCAAATTGTCTTAGTTTAATGAAATCTCCAGGTCCTGTTGATAGTTGATGTCTTTGTGTCTCTGGGTTTGTCCGTCAGGATCTGGATGGTGTTGACATCATGTTAGGGGTTTGCTCCAGTGGTCTGATGGTTTACAAAGACAAACTGAGGATCAACCGTTTCCCTTGGCCCAAAGTCCTCAAGGTCTCATACAAACGCAGCAGTTTCTTCATCAAAATAAGACCATCAGAGGTAAAGAGTTTTTTATATCGACAAACATTCATCCACTTGAAAAATCTGTTTTTCACTGAGATCACCCAAATCATGTATGAAACCTTAGTGTTCATTTCATTAATCTCATACCAATCGGTTTGCGTTTCAACAGGTGGAACAGTATGAGAGTGCAATTGGCTTCAAACTGCCCAATTACAAGGCTGCCAAGAAACTGTGGAAAGTGTGTGTGGAGCATCACACCTTCTTCAGGTGAGCTGTTGAATTCCTTAAAGCTAAGATTAGCTAGTCTTCCTTTGAATTACAGGCTGGAGCTTACTTTTCTCGTTTGCAATAACTGTGGGACTCAATGTTGAGTTAAATAGATGAAGAGATAAGAACTGGTGGAAGGTACAACATATCTCAAAGTGCACTCTGAAGGTTCCTTTTTATCTGCAATTGGCAAAAATTATAATTCTGAACACAACTTCTGTCTCAGAAAATGTGTCCCTTCACATGGTAAGATTTCCCACAACTTTCTGTCATGGTAGTAATGCCTGCAGTGAGATTTTTTACTGTCTGTCAATAGTGATGCCAGCTAAAAATGTACTGTTGCTTGGCAGCACTGTGAGCGAAGGTACTGTAAATCACATAAGCCCTAAAATTCAAACATATAAATCTCCAGTGAGTCAGTTTCCTCACTTGTGTGCAGTGCTTTAAAAGAACTGTGGACGTTTTGGTGAGGACGTTTGCTCGTTGTTTGAGGCAGTTGAGATCAGAGCATTAGATCAGTATTCTTTGTGTCCAGGCTGACCTCCACTGAGATGGTCACCACCCCTAGGAAGTTCCTGGCACTGGGCTCCAAGTTTCGCTACAGTGGTCGGACTCAAGCTCAGACCAGACAGGCAAGCTCTCTGATTGACAGACCAGCTCCTCTGTTCCAGCGCTCGTCCAGCAAGAGGAACTCGCGCAGCCTGGATGGAGGTACCATGTTCCACTTGCCGTTACTACTGTAGTCCAGTGTGTGTGTGTTTTCTATGTAATCTTTTGCTTGGCCTACCATATTGTGTGTGGTGTTTATAAGATCATTTGCAGGCTTTCCTCTAGGTGCAGAATAATCCCTTTATTTAAAATAAAATAAGTCCAAATTTTCACGGATAACCAAACTCCATGCCACAGTGACCTCTACAATAAGCTTCCAACAGAAGAACCCGAAGAGTGGCTTTACACAAATACAGTGACACCCAGTGTACAAAGAGGGAACTGCATTGTTTCAGCAACATATTTGGCTCCTGTATTGTCAAAGCCAGAGCTTGTCGAAGTATTGGCCAGTCAACTGCTGGTTGCTGGGTTTTTTGCCTACATGTAAAAGCACTTGTTTCCCTTCTATTAACTATCTGCCTGTCATAGCTTCTCCATCCATCAACACATATCATATAGGTTTAAAGCAGGTGTTGTGTTCTGACAACAAACCTACATGCATTTACCTCTGACCTGGCAAAGAAACAATGTTGAAGAAGGTAGGATGTTCACATCAACAGTGGTGATTGACTTTTCTCCACTTTCCTATCGCAGATAAGTAGAAAACAACTCTTTTGTCAGAGTATAAAGACGACATTTGCAAAATTGCACCACTGGGTGTCTTTTGAGTCTTAAAGCAGTGCTTGCCTCAGATAAATGTTGGTTTTAATGTTGTGTCTCCAGTGTTTGATTGTGTATGAGTAAAATGGCCCATCACACTTGAGCTGTACAATAAATGGTCACTTCACCATTTATATAAAAAGTATTACAACTTGGAAGGAAGGAAGAGTGAGGAATAGGGTCTTGCTCCGTCTACTTCCACCAATAAACCAAACAAAGAAGAAGAAGTTGTCTGGAATTGTTCCAGGGTCACTGTGCCATATGACCTCAAAAGGCCAAAGCTATTGATCAGACCCTTGCATAATGTAGGAAGTCTGAATGTGAAGTAAAGGCCAGCAGCTTTTAAAGAAAAAACTATTACATATAGGCCTCACTCACTATCTACAGTGTCACAGCTGTGCTGTTTTGTCCTCCAACATTATCTACAGTACTTACATCATCATCTCATCTGGTTCTGTTTATGTCAAATACAAAAATAAAAAGGAATGATTTGCTCTTTATCTTATTCCCAGTGGATCTTTTAAAGCAGATATACGATGCAGTAACAAACTATTCACTATTCAGGCCCCTTATTTATTCACATTGTGTTTTGTTGCACCATTATGATTAACCATATTACATACATTTATATATTTTTGCAATTTAGTTAAAAAGATAAAAACAAATATCACTGTGAGATAAGTATACAGACCTACCCTTATACAAGGTCTCACTGCTTACGATGTATATCAGAGCAGTTTTATCATAAGGGTTCAATTTGATCATAAGGCTGTATTTTCTCCGTGTTTTCTGTCTGCCCTCAGTGATTCTGCTTCTCTTCCCTCTCCTCACACTTTGATCACATATTACTCTCCTCATTACCCCACAGCTCAGTCATCTGGAACCCAACATTATGTAACTTGAGTACTTAGTGTACTGTATAACATCTGTTTTTTCAAGTCCTGCTGATAACACAGACCAGCCATGGTAGATTAAGCTAAACCACACAGAATGTCTTTTGAAACCTCTCCAGCCTTTAATATCTTCCCTTTCTTTGCTGCTCTCCTCATGTACCAAGCTTTCCTTCCATGGATTCTTGTCTTCAGTTGAACACAGTTATTTTAACCACAGGAAATACTGCTTTTAAAATTACCGTTTCAAATATTCTGCTGCTGCTATGTGCCATCGGCATTGTATTGTGTGGATGCATTCAGGATGAAAATATTAAGACTAAGAGTATACAGCCATCTAAGTTCTGTGAAGCTATAGTTAGGAAGAGTGGTGCTATGAATTTAAAGGTTCAGTGTGTAGAATTAAGTGGTGAATTTCCATGTTGCAGCTAAATACTGATTCCCGTTCCAAACATGAAAGATTCAATGCTTTAGTCGAGAAAGGTGTTTGGACTACTATAAAAAACACGGCGGCCACTGTAGAGAGGACCCCCTCCAAATGTAAATATAAAGTATTAAAATATTAAAGGCATATTACCCTATTCTAGGGTAAAGAACTATCAATTTGTACAATTTCTGAGGTTGATTGTATCTAATTTTATGGGTATTTGGTCATAAACAGAAGATTTAGAACCATTGTTCAATTCAATATTTTTTAATACATTACTCTTTGAATCACAACAGTATTTCAGTTTACCTTCACATTAGTTTATGTAAAGTTATGTAAAAGTATAAAAAGTAAAGCTTATGGCTTAATTGTCAGCGTGATATCCTGGAAATAAATAAACAAATAAAGTGAACAGGTTTGTCATAACAGTGTTTAAAATACAGTTAAAATTAGAAGGAATTGTGATTTGAAGGAATCAGTTGCAAAGTAATTCAGAATGAGTCCAGAGGTTTTCAAAAACAATAAGAAAAGGGAAAAGAAAAGAAACTACTTGTCATTCTCTCATTATAGTCTTTTCTATTCCCCTTTTCCCTTTAGTGTCTATGTTTTGTATAATTTATGCGTTTAATTCAATGTATTTCTGCACCAAATCACAACATATATTCTCTTAAGGCGCATTATGTACTTGGGTTAAGATGTTATAATATTTCTCACAATGAGCAAATACTTTGGTGACAGTGGAGAGAAAACTGAAACAGGCTCAGTGTGGGCGGCCATCTGCCTCAACCGGTTGGAGTAAGAGGAGAGTGAAGAGAAATAGGAGATAAGGTGTAAGACTTAATGTATAGAGCGCCATAAGACTCAGGGTAGAACCCCTGCTCCTTCACATGTGGAGTCAGTTGAGGTGGTTCAGGCATCTGATCGGGATGCCTTTCTGCTGAGGTACGTCCAAGTGTAAGGAGACCCTGGTACACACCCCAGCACATGGGAGTACACCCATTTTCATTGCATGCTGGAAAACATGTCCGAAATCACAGTACATAATGGTGCATGTTCTCAAAAAACATGGATACCACATAGTTTTTTGTTTGTAAAGTTAGGCCATTGTTTCTCTGTCTGCTTTAGCCATGGCGTCCACTCCCGACAACAAGTCCACTCGCCCGGTCAGCGCCCCCGTTATGTCACCGGTGTCCCCGGGGGAGGCGTCCCCGTCTCCACTGCTGCCCACCCTGCATCGCTCTGACCACCACGATGGCTGCACCCCTAAAAGTCACCGCTCTGCAGACAGGAAGGCAGAGGTGAAGAGGGAAAGTCAGTCAGCTGAGTATACCAGGAGCCACAGCCCCAGACCAGAGTCCACTCCGGAGATCAAGGTAATGGACACACTCCTGTACATCATCACGTGTCATGCAGCCTCAAGGTTTCACTTTATTGAACAAAACGGGGACCTTACAGGTTATCTACAATAAGACATCAGGAAGAGGAGAGAGAGAGAGAGAGCAATGTTCACATGGAGCCTATTATACCTTTCTGTAGTCTACAATGAGGTGTAGGTGTGGAGCAGTGGGGTAATGTACTAGACAAACATACTGATGTACTGATGACAAGGACACTACCAAAAGGTTTCAGATGTTGTTATAGCTCTTCATGGAACAGAGGTGCTCTGTGGAAGGTTTTATCCTTGCTCATGCAAGGATTGATCCTGATATGTGAGCTTTGTCTGTGCTACCAGACAGTGGCCAGGAGAGAGCGGAGGCGCTCCCCCTCTGTGACCACCGCCAATGGAGAAAGAGAGAAAAAGAGCCAGGTTTGTTTGCTTGATGCATGATGAGACTACAGCTGGGATGGAAACAGTTAAACCGGAAAGTAGACATCATTATAGTAATATTATTATTGCTAGTGTATGGTATTATGTATATAGTTAATTAGCTCATGTGGACTCGTAGAATTGATGGTGTACACCTGAACACACAGTAACTTTGTCTTTCCTTCGGTGGAGGAGCAGCACTCTCCTCTGGACAAAACAAAGGCGGAGGTGGTGCGAGTGAGGAAGGTTAGCGTGCTCCCGAGCCAGTGTTTCTGCTGCCTCACCATCCTCATCCATGCATCAGTTATTCATCAAGAAACTTTAATTTGCGTTTCCGTTGCTTGACAGTGCTGTTCGTCGTTGCACAGACACAAAGAGCTTCTCTTGATTGTTCAATGATTTCTGGCTGTTTGTCTTTATGTGAAGGTTTGTTCACAAGAAGTTGCCATTGGACTAAGGAGAAATCAATGGGATGCGCAGGTTATCATTTGGTCGCTGTCATTTGCTGCACTGCGTTATATTGTGTAAAAGTGGGTTTCTCCTTCTCCATAAGCAAACAGTTGCACTTATTTATTTTTAAGAGGGAGGACACCTTTGGTTGTTACACTCATAACAAGTGTTCAGTGATGTAAAATTTTTATCTCATTGTTGCTGATGGAATTAGTCCCTCCAGGATTGTGTAGATGTTTGTGTTATTGTGACCAAAATGTTGCTAGAGTAGAAGCCAATGACTGATCAGCTGTTATTCAGGTCAGTATAATCTTTGTCCATATACCATGTAGATGTGTTTATTTATTTCCATACAAACGTTTGCAGCTGACACAACTTGAAACAAAGTGATACATACTAATATTTTATTTGCTAATGTTTCCCACATGTCTATCTTAGAATCGTGAATTATAATCATCTGTCACCTCCACTTCTCGGTTGATTTACAGCAGGATGAACTGATTTGCAACAAACGTAGTGGAGGTATCGGGTATGAGCGATGAAAAGACCCCTTAAACTTTGGTGCACATTCAGATAAAGAGGCAGGTCCAGTGATTTTATATCACTGATGTTAAAGGAAGTTGTCATCAATTTCTCAAGAAATAATATTTGGATTGGTGTAAAGAATCAGACAGTTGAGGTGTGGTACTTATTATCACAGAACCAGACAGACATGTTGGCTTGGACAGAGGAATGTGCTCTGCTGAGTGCACGTAGGTTGGTTACATTTTATGTATGTAACAAGTAGGATAATAACTTTTCTCCCAAGATATTTTTATCACTATGTTAAATCATTTATGTCAAGTTTTAGTTTAGTCACTCAAAGTAATGACAGCTTATGTCATATGGTACATGATGAACTGATATTATAGATTTCACCAATAAGAAGGTTTGTTTTTTTATGTGCAAATTCCTGAAGTGACTCTTCCATCAGACAAACAGACACACACTGATGCTCCTCCTTCTGTACACTGCACTGCAGCGGCCTCTGCATGCACTGCATGTTGCTTCCACAATCGGCTGTGAGTGTGTATCTGCCTGGCTTCTCATATACATGATTGTTTGTGTGTGTGTGTGTGTGCGTGCGTGTGCGTGTGCGTGCAAGTTTTTCTAAACACCTGCTGAGCTGGGCACCCTGGAAGCTGCAACCCCATGTGCTGTCTTTTTTTTTTGCTGCTGCACGGTGGATTCTACTGCAAATTAATGTTTCAATGTTTGAATCAATTCTGCTCTTGCTTATTTCCCTTTTCCTAATTTTCCACAGAAAAGAGCAAAGAGACTTGAGGGTGAAACTATTTATATCAGACATAGCAATTTAATGTTGGAGGTTTGTATATTCAGTCGTCAGATATCTGTTCTGGCTGTTTGCCATCATGTTTTTCTTCATGCATGCTCTTTGTTTTGATTTTCTTTCTTTTCTTTCTTGCCGTGTTTTCAGCTTAATCCTAAAGGCTTGGCATGCACTATTTTCCTCTCTGAATCTCATGCAAGTAGCTTCACTTCACTTTGACATTGTCTTTGTCATTCCATATTTTCATTGTATGAAATATATGATTGGGAAAGGTTTAAGTTTTAAACTGCTACTGCAGATTGGCCTTTGGAGTTAATACAACAAATAATAGAAAGATACCCTTGCTGTTACTGTATATGCATTTAATGTGAAGACGTGGGTCCCCAAGAGAAAATAATTAATGTCATGATGAGTCTGAGTTAGAATCAAATTGAGTAAAACATAGGAATAAAAACATGGGGCTCAATTTTAACAATGCGTCTTCATGCACACCTGCTATTTCTGTTGATGTAACAGAGCCGGCTGAAGTAGAATGGAGGGAGTGGTGATTCATGAATTTAATCTGTGATCTTTAAACAGCACCTGAGATCTGCAGCGAGAGGCGGCTGTTACTGCTTATTATTAAATTGTACAATGACGATAGAACCAAATAAAAAACAATGAGGATGACGACGACCACATCGATCAAACTCCATCACAGTTTTATTTCAACTTCATTGCACAGTGTATCATAAGATGTGACAGAGCACCAGAATACTGAGTGTTGTTAAGATGTTAATGTTACTGTGATGTAGGTCTCACCAAATCCAAAGATTTCAAACTTCACCTCGCTCATGAACTGATAACAAATTCGGAAACAATCAAAAGTATTTTTTTTGTTTTCCTGTGAGTCAATTGGAAAACGTGTACTAAAGTAAAAACAACTCTTCACTTGATTGTAGATGAGACCTAGACAAAAACCTTCAGCTGATCTTAACAGCTATTGATCCGTACTAAACCAAGATAATGTGATCTGGGACTATGAATAAAGAAGATGTGTGAGCACCATCCACAGAGCAGTCTCAATGCTTGCTCCGCTGGTCTACCATGTCGTCCACACTCTTTTCCCAGCAGACATTATGATGATGTCACCAAGGATGTAAATAATAACACAGGCATAGGCTCTATTCTATTAAGTCTGTTAGGTTACATCTACATCTACTGGAATATGTAAACATATTATAAATACTGCCTGGCATCCATACTACTCCAGAGGCTTCCAACCCCTGAAACAGACTTGTGGAAATGCTACCGGTCCTGTTTTAGTTTGAAAACTCCAGGATTGTTTTTTTTCTAATCAATCCTGACCTGACTACGAGCAGTGAATGCAAAGTGTTGCTAACTCAGTAACAGCCTATCTTGAAGAGAATGAAGCCATCATCAGTTATTAATTCCATGCGCTTGGCTTGCTTCTGAAAAAACAAATTGTCTGCTGTGAAAAGAGTTTATTGACAAAGAAACTTCTTATTTGTTATTTCCCAGTCGTGAATGTCTCAGTTCTGTCACTCACAGATTCTGAACACTGCTGCTGTTGGTTCTCATCGGTCCTCATAACACTCTTCATGTGGTTAGTCCACTACATGGACTCAAACCAATGCAAGGTTCATGCTGTGTTTCCTGTCTGTGACTTTGTATCTCTCTTGCCCTGATTTCTCTCATCTCTGTGCTCTATGAGTGTCTGTGCTTCTGAGTCAATGATTTCAGAAGAGGGACGACATCAGCTCTTTAATGCTCACATTTGTGAATTTTAAAGCTGCACTAAAGACATCTATTGTCATGTGCTCCCCCCGACCTCTTTCTGTGTCTTTGACCCTTTTCGACCTGGTGTTAACACCCATCCTGAGTGATCCAATCACAAGAAGTTAGTACTAAGTACAGGTCTGATGGCATCCTAATGCCTCATCTGATCACTCATACAACATTCAAAGCTCCTCGTAGCTACCATCCTCTACGGCACCGAAAGTAGTTTTACTCCTCTCAATGCCCATAAATTGATTTGTTTTTGGCCACCGCCACAATATCAACTCTGACTAACACATATTGATATCTATTTTTATTATATGAGTAGATCTGCACGCAAGCTACTTGGTTCATTCAGCCCCACTGACTCTACTTGCTCTCTCTCTCTCTCTGTCTGTCGCTCGCGCTGACACACGAGCACACACCGACACACACAAACATTGTGATATGACACATTTTTTAACTCTGCTTGGATTAGTACAACATCATTTGGTCTTCAAAAAAAACAAGTGATTATCTGTATATAGAGCGGAGAGCCAATCACAAGTGGTCACAGGAGATGCATTTAGATGTCAGGTGTGAGCAGGTGAACTTGCAGCTGTCTGCTTGAGATTGGATTTCTCAGGACAGGTGGTAATACTAGGTCCTAACATGGCCTGTGCTGTATTGGTTTGTGTCATTAATGTAGCCCGCCACCTATTCGGCTTGACTATAGGCATATAACAATGCAGCAGTGAAAAGAATGCAGCAGAGAAAAGAGGAAGAAGATATAGTAATGTACCTTGACATTGGTTGCCACCCGCCAATAAACCGATCAGCGAAGAAGAAGAACAGTTGTTTTAGGAAATAGGTTGCCAACCATTAAATCATAAAGAACCGATCTGTATCAGTTTTACGCAGGAGAAAATCAGTATCTCCAGGAGCACTGGTCATATCCAGGAGATCCCACACAAAATAACACAAAACAATTACTGTCCAAATAAACTGTGATGTTCCCCCAAAGCCTAAAGAGTAGACATCCAAACTGATTTGTCCACCTTGGAAACAGCCACTTGCATACTTACCCTTCCTCTCTTAAAGGTCCAGTGTGTAAGGTTTAGGTGAAAGGAAACTATTGGCAGAAATGTAATGTAGATTAATCCTCATGATGTTTTCACTAGTGTGTCTCATCTAAATTGTATGAATTGTTGTTTTCTTTACCGTAGAATCGGCCCTTTATATTTAAATACTTTATATTTACATCAGGAGCGGGTCCTCTCTACGGAGGCCGCCATGTTTTGCAATTGCCCAAACTGCGTGAGGGGTGTTCGGCTGCAACATGCAACTTCACCACTAGATATCACCAAAATCTACACACTGTACCTTTGACTTACTGAAATTGTTGGGGGATTGTTATAATCACTCAGCAGACTACCTTGCCTTTCCTGCCTGCACTTAACTGAGGTGGCTCAACATTCATCCACTTTCCTACCTTTAGCTTACCATATGCAGTTTTTTTTTATAGAAACATGACACCCCCATGTCATTCAACATTTCTTCTCAGTTATATTGGTGGCAGCCATAATCTGTGCACCAGTAAACTGCTGAACTGCCTTTTAAGTCACCAGTAATTAGGAGTAATCCTCTAAACTCTGCTGCTTCAAATCAGTTATCATGAGCCACATGAGGGAGACTTTGAAAAAGGCTGCTAAATCAGTGGCTGAAATATGGATCACAGACAAAGACTTCCTCCAGAGCAGTCTGGGGTCTGAAAAATATCTTCTTCCATGACCTCAGCATGTCATTGAGAATAGGCCGACTCGATCGTTGCATTTGAATAACACAAGGCCTCATTCTGTTTCAAAGAATGATTTGTTAAATTATTGTTCTTAAAACTTTCTTTTCACCCATGGCCATACATAATTTGTGTCTATGTATCTCCTTTTCTTATATGAAAGTACTACATTCTTTATAGTTCACTCCTCCTTTCTTTAACATCTTCAGTCATTTTCATCATCCTGTCTTTACTCCTGTTCTCTCTTATTATCATTCCCTTCTATCCCTTTTCTACCGATTCTGACTGTTACGTTCTTGTTGAAGGACGTGGATAAGACCCAGACTGAAATCATGCGTCATCACACTAGCATCAGTGAGCTGAAGAGAAGTTTCATGGAGTCAGTGCCGGAGCCTCGTCCCAGTGAGTGGGATAAGCGTCTTTCCACCAATTCACCTTTCCGCACGGCGAGCTTCAATGGCCAGCTCCAACCAGCGGTGAGTCCATCAATCTGATGCGCAAAATACTCTACATCAATACTGTTATTATTCTTGATTAGATCTCATTCCATCCCATGTGGGATCATCCATTTATAGCCTGTCAGTTTGAGACAGGTGCTAATCTAAGTAACATAAATGAGATTTTTCTTTAAATGTCAGAATGCTCCTTTAAACCATTATTCTGACTGCGTAACACTCTGAATAACTTGAGTGACAGCAGCTCAGTAAACCTGAACAAACTTCTCTGGCAGGCTATTTGCTATTTATGACAGCTTCAGCTACATCTGCAGGATATCACAACCCAAATGAGACAGTGATTAAATCTGACATTGAGCCCACAGTGTGAGATAGCACCCTTTTGCTTCTGTCATGTGTTATCATTATATTATGATCCCAATCGTATCATATGCACAGATCCCTCTAAGGTCTTTTCTTGATATCTGTTATTTTCATTTGAGTAAAGCCCAACAAGTCAAGTCATCACTTTTATTTATATGGTCCCAAATTTACAAAGGACACATTTGTCTTATAATTATTTGCAGCATGTAAAACACAGGTGTAATAAAACATATGAATGTCGGCAGAATTCCATTAAGCTGCTTCAGTGTGATGGTGTGAGATATTCAAACACCATTTTTAAAGGTGGGTGTTATGTAACTGGTATCAAATGAAAAATATGTATGAAATTCTCAGGGCCCCTCTATTATACATTGCTGTAAAGATTTGAGAGTTTGCCATTTTTTATTGTGTTATAATGGTTGATATTACAGACCAAGTATAACACGGTATACTGTTGTTATCTACTGAGAAAAGAGCACCTGTCCACATATCTGTATACTGATCCTCCATTTGGTGGTGCTGTTGGCTTTCACTCATGTCATTCCACTGCTTAAGCATGATGTGACTATAACTGCACTGACAAAGGGACTAAAGACACTTCAGGATTTGTTTATGCTGTATTTAAGTGAAGATGGGATGTGTGTGTGTGTGTGTGTGTGTGTGTGT